TCTTTCTTTCTTTCTTTCTTTCTTTCTTTCTTTCTTTCTTTCTTTCTAGTATGTCACCTAGTTGAAAGTTTAACCAAAACCCGAGGCTTGTGAAAAGGTTGTATGTTGGTACAAACAATGCATTCTCTGTAAACATTGGTAAAATAATTTAACTTTTCCAGTATTTTCATTTCCATTGCTATTTTGCCAAATTCATTTCCATAGAACCTTTGTTTTATCTTTTTTAGAAACCCAAAAAGAAGTTTTTTAAGGACTTGCGTGATCATATTGTAGTCTGTGTTTTTGGAGATGCCACTTCAACCATGATTGGATTAAGGAACTTTGTAATGCCACTGCGAGCTAGCAACTTTGCATTCAGTGAGTTGAAGGACATTGTCTTTGTTGGCTGCACTGAATACCTTGAGCGGGAATGGGAATTCATCCACAATTTTCCAAAACTTCACTTACTGAAGGTATGAGTTTGTTTTTAATGGATGGGAGAATCATTGGATGGGGCAATAAGGCAAATGTCTTTAGCTGTATTATCACTGCAGATGAAGCAAGACCACTGCATTCCTCTCCCTCCCTTGGATATGTTGAATATCTATATTGTTTGCAGACTATTCTGTCCTTTTTTATCGCAAGAAATCCATATGTCTTCAAAATGTTATAGGAATGTTTATATTAAATTGAAACTGAGGTTCATTGTTGTTAGTTCTATGGTTCTCAACTTACAAGCCACTCAGAGTAAACTGTAGAGAAGATGACAGCATAAAAATGCATTTTTTTCTTTTAACAAGCCTGTAATCCCTTGCATCAGGGTGGAGTCAGGATGACTGAATGGAGTTGAGCATTTACTGCCCAGATGACCTTCCTGAAGCCTATACTGGGTTCACAGCAGATATTTTCTCTTTGCGCCCAAAGAGCCATTAGCCAGTACCTGCCATTAGCCAGGATCAACTCAGAGCCTCCTGATTGTGAAGCAAGAGCTCCACTTCCAGGCTACCATGCCCCTTAGGCATAAAAAAGTAATAATTTTATATAAACAAACAAATTTCTTACTTTTCTTACCAGGGCACTGGATTATCTTGTTCAGATCTCAAGGCAGCTGGCATCCAATACTGCAGCATGTGTGCCGTTCTGTCAGCCAATCCCAGTGATGTCAGTGATCAAACACTAGTGGATACCAAATCTATCTTGGCTACCCTGAATATACGTTTCTTGCAGTTCAAGCAAACTTCATTGACAGGTAAAACATGGGCATCCACTGAAGGATGGAGGTTCAAAAGATATAGTATGGATGATGCCATTGTCTCACTTTATATAGTTGCACCAGATGTTTCAATCATATAAGTTCATATAATCATTATAAATTATATATATATTATAAATTATAATCATATAAATTATGGGATGATACCACCACAGGTGTGTTGTCATTCTGGCATCATCGGGATTTGCTGTAGATGTAACTGGATGAGAGAGAGAAGCAGGTGAGAAGAGGAGGGGGGAAGGGAGGGAGGGGGAGGGAGAGAGAGAGGAAGGAAGGAAGGAAGGAGCCATTTCAGGACATAATTCCTTAATTAGACTCCACTTACCATTTCTTTTTAACATTTATCTCACCTATAAATTACATTTGATGAAGGATCTTAATCTATTTATGAACAAAATCTACGGGGAATTCCACAAGGGATACTATGAATGGTTTTTAATTTCCAGCACAGCTGGCCCTTCTATTAGAACTGTGTTAGTAACTATGTTAGACAGCAAAATACAGGGGTTCTCCTGAGTCCCCCACCCATTCTCCTCTATGGTTCCTGACCTTGCAACTCTTTTTCTTTTTTTAATTTTAATTTTTATTAGACAACACAAAAAAGAAGAAAAGAACATTAAAAACAATGAACATGGCACAATCCTCCTAACCCACAGTTGTCTTACATTGCTAAGTCACATATAAAAACAGTACATATTTACATTCTACATACATAGTATATAATATAATACATATAATCATTTCTTATTATCTTCATCTGTCCTCTTTTCTAACCAACAATAAAACTTATCCCATACTTTGTAATAATCCAATTTATCCTTATTTTTTATTCTTTTGTCAATTTGTCCATTTCTGTGCCCATCCAAATTTTCCTAATTATTTCTATTTCACTTGGAGTTTCTTTACATTTCCACTGTTGTGAATAGGCCAATCATGCAGCAGTAATTATATGAATTATTAGGTATATAATATCTTTGTTGTATTTTCCCACATTAATTCCTAACAAGAAAATTTCAGGTTTGTATTCTATTTTAATCTTACACATCTCTTCTAACAACTTCGGAATTTTCTGCCAAAACTTTTGGACTTCTTTATAATTCCACCATAAATGATAATATGTTCCATTTTCCTTATTCCACTTCCAAAGATTTGGATACATTTTTGCCAATTTTGATGGCAGCATATGCCATCTATAAAACGATTTATATAAATTTTCTTTAAATGATGTGGCCAAAGTCATTTTTTTGTTTCGTTCCCATAAGATTTGCCAATCATCTAAGTTTATACTATATCCAAAATTCTTCATCTATGCCACCATTGTTTCTTTTACTTTTTCTTCCTCTAATTTACATTCCAATACAACTTTATAATTTTTTTATCAATTTCTCATCAATTCCCAATAGTACTTCATCTAATTTTGTTTTGCAACTGCTAATTCCCCACTCTTTCATATCTTCCCCATGTCTCGATTGGAGTTGTAAGCAAGCCCACCATTCTATATCTATTCCTTGGTCCTTCAAATCTTGTCTCAATCTCGTAATTCTCCTCTATCATTTAAAATGTCCTCATAGGTAATAATTTTTCCTTGTCAGAGTAAGTGTGGGTACATCAAAGCTTCCAATGTAGATAGCCATATTGATGTTTCTACAGAAATTTGTCTTTTGCAACTCTTTTTCAATGACCCTTAGATCATGCCCAGAAAAAGAGACTCATGGCTGGATTTATATCAGTGTGTCAGACACATAATCTGAAAAATTACCTTACATCCAACATCATTTATTTTTATCATTATAGATTTTTTTCTTCTGTCTTTTCATTTACAGAAGAGTGAAGATGTCCCTTCCTCTTGGGTATGACAATATTAATTAACTGAAAATGAATCGGGGATAGATAACTCACCTAAGTGGTCTGCCCATTTCTTTATTAACATTCAGGAGGTTTAAATAGCACACCGGGCATGCCAAGACAGAGATTAAGAGAGAGGGAGGGAGGGAGAGAGAGACAGAGAGAGAAGAGAGAGTGAGAGTAAAAGGGAGAGGGAAAGGAGAGGAGAGGAAAGAAGGGAGCGCAACATAGAAAATAATTCCATCCAAAACTAAGGGAGTTGTAAAAAAAAAAAAAAAAAAAAGCAGTCTTCCTCATGACAGTGCAGCAATGCATTTCATATCCAGCAGAAATGCTATCTTTTTCAGGAAGGCTCCTAGAAGGCAGTGGCCAAGATCCTGCTATGTCATTCCCAACTTCATTTGTTCTTCATTCACAGTAACACCTGAAACAAATATCTCCATTCTGCTGTTTATCAGAGCCAGCCTAATTCTTTTTATTGACAATGAAAAAAAAACAGTTCAGACATAAAAATGTTTGAGATAAGCACACTATGCAAAATTCCATTTTATCTGATGGTGGAAGAATGTTACCTAATGCAGCTTCTTTCTTAGTGAAGTAAAGGAATTTGCCTCTAAAGGTACCATCAAATGCTTCTGTGGATAATTTACTGTTCACCAATTATACTGTGATTTTTATCTCTATCTCTCTGTCTCTATCTATATATACAGGTAGTCCTCGACTTACAACCATTTGCTTACATTCAAAGTTACAACAGCATTGAGAAAAGTGACTTATATTCATTTTTCACATGACTTGCAGCATCCCTGTGGTCAGTGGATTAAACTTCAGATGCTTTGCAATTGGCATATATTTATGACAATTGCTGAATCCCGCGGTCATATAATCCCCTTTTGTAAACTTCTGACAAGCAAAGTCAATGGGGAAGCCAGGCTGACTAAAAACTGGGTTACTAAACAACTGCAGTGATCCACTTAACAACTGTGTCAAGAAAAGTAATAAAATGGAGCAAAACTCATGTAGCAAAATAGTCCATAATGTCTCCTGTACAGAAAGTTAAATTAAGATATGAAGGTTAACAAAGGTAGACAATTCCAATTCCAATTCTCAACTGTTGAATCTAGCATTTTACTTTTTGAAAGGGGAAACAAATTTAGATTATGCCTACTTTCCAGGCAGTGAGTTCCATAAAGAACATTAGGACTTTCATATAAATAAACACACACTATTAATATGCTTTGTAAGTTAGAAGGTTCTTCTGTTTCTCTTTTTTTAAAAAAATAAAAAATAAAGACAATTAAAAATGTGCCTTTAAAACGCAATGCTTCTCAGTTGCTGACAGACCAATTTTTGAGTTGTTTTGACATACTGCCACCCTGCTGTTCCCATTTAGTTGTTATTTTAAACTTTGCAATGGTAGATAAAGTCTCTTTGTTTCATATCAAAAACTTTGCCAAAACTGGAATGGAGAGGAGGCTGTCATGAATGCAATGTAGGATTCAGAGTTTAACTCTCTTGAATAGTTCTAGAGGGGGAAAAGTCTAGCAGGAAATGTTAGGTTTACACTGAAGATAATAGTAATTAAATGAGAATATTTTCCATCTAAGAAGTTTGGATTAGGTTATATGAAACCCTGAAAGAAGTTTCTGCCTATCTAAGATTTAACCCAGGGGTAGGAAACCGAGAGGCAGGATTGCACAAATTGTCAATTATCAGATTTGTATCTAAAGGAGATAGTGGAAGATAAGATTAAAGTATTGAATCTCCAGGTCAGAAATTTGGAAACTTTATCCTTCCTCTCCTTTTTATAGGCTGTGCTACTAGAACTGAGTTGTTTGAGAAAATAATTGTAACAAGAAGCACTAAAGAGGGGAAGCTAAGGATTTAAAACTAATAGCCTTCTATCACAGCATTCTCTGGGCAGCTGCTGTGGTTTTGTTTACAGTAGCAAGATTCAGACAGCTACCTCTTGGGACCGATGATCAAATGCAGACTATATCTGAAAAGGCACCCAAACTGTAATCACTGGTTCAAAACGCAGATAGTCCTTGATGTATGACCACAATTGAGTCCAATATTTCTGTTGCTAAGTGAAACATTTGTTAAGTGAGTTTTGCCCCAATTTATGATCTTTCTTGCCAGATTTGTTAAAGCAAGTCACGGTAGTTGTTAAGTTAATAACATGGGTTAAGTGAATCTGATTTCCCCATTGATCAGGAGGTCATAAAAGATGATCACATGACCCTGGGATACAGCAACTGTCATAAGTATGAGTCAGTTTCCAAGCATCTGAATTTTGATCATGTGACCACAGAGATGCTGCAATGGTCATAAATGTGAAAAATGATTGTAAGTCGCTTTTTTCAGTGCTGTTGTGCATCGAGGACTGTCTGTATTGAAATCTCAACTCTATTTCTGAGACAGTAAGGAACTTTTTTTTTAAAAAAAAACTTCATTCTCCGTGTGCTTTGGAACAACACTGGATTGTCTTCTCCTTCCTCCTCTGCTTCTTCTGAGGCAGTTGCTTTGGCTGGGATTTGTTGTTGATAAGACTTTCTTAACTTGCCAGTCCACTCTGCCTGATCTCATTTCTTGATGAGGAAAGGAGTAAACTGAAGGGTGGAGAAGTTAAGGGAGTTTCAGATTCTGTAGAGGTGATTGGAAGATGAAATGCAAGATACCCTCAGGCACTCTTCACTTGCCTTGTAATGAACTTATTACAAGAACCAGACTTTCCACCCATTTAAAAAATGCTTCAATAGTTTGTCTATGGAAATTCTCAGTCATCCAGATCAGTGGTGGGATTCAAAAATTTTTAGTACCGGTTCCGTGGCTTGGTGGGCATGGCTTGGTGGGGGTGACAGGAGAAGGATACTGCAAAATCCCCATTCCCTCCTCACCCCACTAACCTGCTTTCCAGCTCTGTTCTCCTGTGCAGGGCAACAAAAGAAGACCCAGATGATCAGCTGGGACTTGGCAGGCAGAGAATAGATGGGGGTGGGGCCAGTCAGAGGTGGCATTTGCCCTTTTTCCAAACTACTCAAAATTTCCACTACCGGTTCTCCAGAACTGGTCAGAACCAGCTGAATACCACCTCTAATCCAGATCATGATTGTCCCAAAGGTGATTTT